CATTAACATAGGAGAGGGAAGGGGAAAATTACAGAACGATAGACAAAAAAAATAGGAAGGGCATGCTAGTAAATACATGTGTTTGACAAACTTTAATGGAAGTTTTTTCACATTCTTCCTACAAATTTAGGAGCTGAAGGTTTCACAACACAAGAGGACAGGGAGGAATTGAACCGAATTGAAAAACAATTAAAAAGGCGGTTTGCAATTGGTTCTCAGGTCTCCGAGCACTGTATTATCCAAGATTTCTTGCGACAGGTGTGTAGATGGCTTTTCAATTGTAACAGACTTCTTTTTTTTTAATTCTGCTGTAATGTCATTTTTATACCATCAAGTCGTAGCGAGAATAGATGCTTTAGTTATATCTGTACTAACATTCCACTAAGTTGTTATTGGTCATCTATTTTGAAAGGCATATATGCTACAATGCAAGCCAACCTTTGAAAGACAGAAATTTGATAATTACATACTTGTAAAAGTTCTTTTTAATAACCTTCATATTTCTTTGTCTTTATAGAAATATCCTGAACGCTCGATTTACAAAGTGATCCATTTGATGATGAGACGAGGCGAGATTCAGTATCGTATGCAACGTAAGATGCTGTACAGAATAAAGTAAACAAGATTGGATACGACGGCAGTTAACTTAACACCATTCAAAAACAATCCTTTTGTCTTATTGATGATTTATTTATTATGCTCTGAAATGTTGGTTTCGACAATTTGATATTCAAGAGATAGTAAAAATGTAACTGTTTATGAATCCTGATTGTAACCACTTAATACTGTATATAAAAGTTACTTGGCAACAGATTCCAAATTTACATACAATTTGAAAACACAAGGTGCCTTCAAATATAAATTTGAAATTAAATTCAAATGTAAATACTGTATTAGTTAATTAATAAAACACATGTTTAGGTAAATTCTGTGTTTATTCGACTTCTGTATAAGACGATGTCATTTGTCCATTTTGTTTCATTTCCTCTTTTGCTGCTACTCACAGGGATGGCACTGTACGCTGGTGACATTGCACCTCTTTTCCTGCTCCGATGTCAATGTTTATTCCATCTGTAACTGGCTCCCTGAACTACAAAGCTTTGTATTCAACTTATCAATTAACTACATAGTGGTGATGAATAGTCACTCGCCCATGTATAATTTTCTTATCTACTGTAAATACTTGAATAAGCATGGAAAGAGCGCCACACCGAAGCATCCAAAAGTTGACACCAAAGAATTCTGCATTTAAATGTTTAATTTTATTATCTAAATTCATTAGTTGAAAATTAAATGTTTTAATCATAACACTTCCAGACCTGATGGCTTCAAAGCTCAACTTGTGGTTGGTTGGTTGGTTGGTTGTTTGTGTTGTCCAGTTTTTTTGGCCAATCTAGATCCACAGACTAATTTTTAAAAAAAATATCGAAGCTTGTGACACAATGTGGTATTGCACATTTCAATCTGCTCTACAAATATCCAAGTGCTTACAGGCATTAATCCAAATAACAAATGATGTATAATAGCTACAATTAGTGATTATTATCACTCGAGATAGATTTGGTGATATAATACTTACTGCTACATCCAGTTCCAAAATATCAACATGGCATTTCAGTAAGCTGCCGAGATTTGGTTCGGTACGCCCAAAGTCACTGTGGACAAATTCTTTTATGTACCTGATGAACACCGATTAAAGAATATAATGATATATAAACATTATTATTATTAACATACTTATTGTAAATTTAAAACTACTTTTGAGTGCAAAAATTAATTGACAATCTAATTACAGGGGTCCCAGGTTGAAAGAAACCATTTCTGGGAGATTCGTTTAATGACATTGCGAGTGGTATATATATTCTATGAGAAAAAAAAAGTGTAGGTACCAAACAAAAGGCCACACCCACCTCAGGCCCACCATGATTGGGGATGAAGCCTGGAACTGGCACTGTCAGACTGCAAAATATAAGGGAAATAATCGGCGACCAAAGTTTCTGCCTAAATAAAACAAAAATATTTGTTTTTTACTGAATTTGTGGGAGATTTTTGCTTTTGTGCGGGAGACCATACCGATTTCTGGGAGACTCCCGGGAATTCAGGGAGAATTGGGACCCCTGTAATTATTGAGAGAGGTCTAATACTAGACAAAAATAAGCCCCAATGAGAGAATATATAGCAATTGAAATTCTGTTGAGGTAGAGGATGAATTGCACTTTTTAATAAACTGCACTCAATACTCTAACCATAAACACTTTATTTTCAAACATTAGGGATGGTATAAACAACTTTGATAGCTTAAAAGATTATGATAAATTCATTAGTCTCATGAGTGGTCAAGATTTTGACATTTTGCTGCCACTCCTCAAATTCACATGAGCTGTTTCTATGGAGAGGGAAGTCTCTGGAATTTAGTGCTTCTTGTATTGTCTTCTTGTAAGTTATCATTGTTTCTGGGTCCTTCCCTGAACCCAGGGTGAGAGTTCATAATTTTTTTTTAATTGTATAAATGAAGCTATATGCTAAATTGCAGTCAATCATCCAATAAAGACAAGCATTTCTACATTTTCAAAAGGCATGAGTTCCAGTACAGTATTTGATTTACTGTACTTGTACAGTATTGTAACAGTAGCATTTAAAAGTAAATGAAGCACTACGCTAAATTTACAACCAATTACAAGATAAGGAGATCAGGATCTTGAGGTTTCAGAAGGCATGAAGTTGTGGCAACATAATTAAGGATACGTGCCGGCTTGTGTGCTGAGGTTCAACTGGAAATGGTGATCGTCTATATACTGTGCTTGCATACTGTGGACTACTCGCTCCCTTGTTGCAAGGTTACGACGGTGTAACACACGGATTGGTGTCTTTTGGTAAATCACAAGATCCTGAATTATTGGAAAATGTAAACAAAAAAATCAGTTATGATTAAATTAGGTGATGTCAAAATAATTTTCTTTCAGATATAATTTGACCTTGCCCATATCATAGGATGCATATATTGTAGCTCTTGCACAAATGCATACCCTATTTTATGCATATCATTCTTTACTAGAGATTATAATGACCCTTTAACTAGTCCTTGGTTTCGATGGTGATGTTTGACACTATCATGCGGTCCTACTGGCACTATACAATCACTAACCCTAGTCATGGGATAGATATGTACCATATGTGTACCGCATTTAACAATTTCATTGCTTTACACCTATTCAAATACAGATACTTGAAAATGTCCGAAGCAAAAAAATCACCTTATACCACATTAGTTTGCGACCTATCACCCCCTTCATGTAATCATCAAACCCTCACTCCAACACCCCCACCTCAATTTCAAGACTCCTAGATACAACCCACTGCGACCAAGGTCCAAGGTGGAAGAGAGTGGGAGGAGATTTACTCACCTTAAATGTTTCCAGTATTTTGAGATCTTCTGGGGTTTTTGCCTCTTCCACCCATATTTTGGCATTGTATGATTTTGTCTTTGACGTCTCACCCTCCTTCAGTTTCTTAGTTTCCTCTCTAAAAAAACATACAACCATGAATATGTTTTTCATCATATTTGAACTGTAATAATTGTCTCCCGGTGTACTGCCCAATCATGACCAGAAAGACCCCACTTCAGACTTTTATGGCTTAACTTTGGTGTTTACACCGAATAAATCAACTCAAATATTAATGATTATGAATTAAATAGACCATCCTATTAAATAAATCAATATGCAATAAGATGAATATTACTGTACAGTACAAAGAAAATAAAAATGATTTACATGTTAAACAGTAAAATATACAGTTTGAAATGCCAATTGTTTGTTCAGTTTAAAAATAATAATATTCTTATATATCACTTACTTTGTGACCATCTGCAAGTCACTTACAGCAACATCTTCGGTTCTGGAATTTATAAACTATAAGAAAAATATAAATAGCTGTGAATTTTAAATTTAAACTTCATTTTATTTCATTTAAAAAAATGTATTTTATAGATCTGGCATCGTATACCTCTTGTAATTCTGTCATATCTTCTTGCCCTTGTAAAGCTCGGTGTGGATTCAGTAGCTCAACTAGGAATGGCCTGCCTGCAATGTAAACATCAATCCATCCATCATAAATAACATACAATATATTAACTATCAAGTATATAATTTATTTAAAAAAAAAACATCAAAAAAAGACAAAAATAAAAAGAAAAATTATAAAGGTTAAAGGTCATTTACCTCTTCCTAATGTCAATACATCAACATCTTCTCTCCCGGAAGAAGAAAATTTGTAATCTACAGATAAAAAAAATATTCTTATACATCAGGCAATTGATCAAGGAATCAATTAAGCAATCTAATGGTTGCTGATCAATTCATAAATCAATTCAGCTGTTGATAATTAATTCTTTAATAGCGGTCAATAAATTCAGTAATCAATATCGATCAATCATTTAATGTAGCTGATATCAGTTACCTTTGGCTTGCAGTTTTTTTTTAATTGGTATGCAAATGTATTCTTCAACTGAATTCTGTGTTTTTCGCTCACCATCGATCAACCACGGTGTTTGACTTAATGTCCGAGAGTATTTGTTGTACCTTCCTGGATGAGAATTGGAAAGCATAAATATTTAAGGTAATGACTAAGTAAAATTAAAAATGATAAAAACTTATATAGCTATTCCTATTGGCTAGCCTTAGCTGCATATAAATGGGGACTTGCTGTTAGGCAAGCATTTACTTAATGGGGGCCGGTGGGCAGGGCTCCCTTCGGGAAGGGCTGGTCCCCCGTCGGGGATAAACACCACAATTTGTCGGGAAAAAAAAAATCATGTCTATTGTCTACATATTAGTAGACTCTAAAATCAATTAAATAAGCCTTTGAAACCCTTAAATTGTTATATTTTTCGGGGGGGGGGCCACCTTCTTGGACCACTTTCGCCTACTTTGCTCTTATTAGGGACATCAGCCCATTGTAAGGGACCTAGGGCCCCCGTCGGCCACCCCTGATACATATGTAATTAACCATATAGTTTCTACATTACAATTTGTAGAAGATGATTGATTGTAAGAATGAGAGGTCTACAATGTAGAATAATCATACCTGCTACAAATACCGGTGCATGGGATATTGTCACATTCACTACACAGGCCTCTGAAGGGGTGTATGGAGGCCAAGGGTACTGCCTAAAAAACATATTACCAGAAAATGAGAATATACAATATGCATGTTATAAATCTACCACTAGTGGAGGCGGTTTGGGAAAGTAAAAAAAAGGTTTGGTTTCCCAACCTGGAGGTCAGGGTTTCAATCCTTTGCCAAGTATTATTTTCGCTTGTGTACTTGAGCAAGGTACTTTATCTACATTGCTTCAGTCCACCCAGCTCTATCAATTTGTAACAGCAAATTGTTCGAGTAACCCGCAGTAAACTAGTGCTTCACACTGGGGTAAGCTCCAGCCTATGAGCCCTGTGGCACAGCAAGTTTTTTACTTTTAAATCTATTATGATTAATATTATTAACCATACACAAAAAATTGATCTTTTTTTTTTTTACCTTTGGAGCTCTTCAGTGGGCATCTCTGACAATTTATTTTGTACCACTGTGCGAGACACGCCATCAAAATTCTGTAATTTCTATAGAAACAAATCCAAAGTTTACTACTGAAATTAAGGAAATACTTTCTAAATAAAAGACTTAATTTTTCAATGTTCCAGGTCAAGAAAATAATAGTCTACAGTACATCACATTGTGATACAACTCAATTATCAAAGTAAATTAAATAAACTTACCCTTCTTCGCTTGCTTGGTGGCTCACTTCTCTTTCTAGTATCTGGGATCCTGAACACAAAAATGAAGACACTGTATTTAAAATCGGCATGTACATAAACATTAATTCATAACAATCTACTTAAGAATTCAATAAAACTTGTTACATGTGACAAATAAAAGTAATGATGAATCAATTTTAACTTACAAAAAATCACATTCTCTACTTGTAGCAGCATGGCTGATGGACAGCCCAATTTCAAAAAGACTCTGAAACAAGAATTTAATACTTTTTTTTTTCTGGGTTGTTGTTTTAATCAATTAGTCAATCAATCAATCAATTAATCAATTGATCAACAGAATAATGTATCATTTAAGCACATTCAAATTATATGATATACAGTAATAGTATTAGTATACTAATTTATGATCATGGAATTGAACACAGATTATCATTCTATTTATATCATAATTTAAGTCTTTTTGTAGCATTTTATCTGACTTTCTTCATAAACTTTTTATCAACCAAGAAAAAAAAAATCATGTGTAAGATAATAAATATTCAAATCTTGAAACCTGAGTATACTCTACATCATCTACATAACTACATTAGAACCCCTATTAAGGGGACACCTTTGGGACCAAAAAGTGTCTCCTTAATATTGGTGTTGCTATAGTGTTAAATGACATACTTTCATTTGTTTTGTTTCCGAAAAAGTGCACCCTTAACAGGAGTGTCCAAAAGAAAAGGTTCTACTGTATAATAAATGACACAAAGATGATATGATATTATAATCTTACCATTGGACTGAATCGGACATCAAGGGGCGAGCTAAGTTTCGGGCCATATACCCACTTCAGTACATCTTTAATGGTAGAAATTTCATCCAGCTTACGCTTGCTGTAGACAGATCTGTTAAATTAAGATTATTAAAGTTATGTCTTCGAAATAGAGGGGACCCAAGGAGGCACAGTCACAGATGGAGAGTCTAGAACACTTTACCTTTAGCCTAACCATGTTTTGGGCTGAGGTATGAAAATGTATGATTATGGCACATCTAGATGGTTGGAAATCAAATTTGATTTGACAAAAAACTGTTGTATGCCCAAATACAGTCATGATGTGGCTATATATGGTCATGATGTGATGTCATCATATTTAGGCATGTCACATGTTTTGACAAATAAAATTTGATAGTCCGGCCAGTGTTTAACCATAAACAACTGCAGCATTTTGCCTCTCTTGAGTTCCGTAATCCACTGAAAATTACTTTCAAATGTAGTACAAGTTGGAGTTATGTTTAAAAAGTTAAAATTACTGGAAAAAAAAAATGACATGACTTACTCATAGTTTGTTTGCAAATGTTTCCAAATAGCATGCTAGACAAACAAATGAAAAGTAAACTTTATTCCAATATGTTGTTAATACTTTATGTCTGGATTTCACACAAATGTTAACCTGCCCACCAATATTGGCACTGTGAGTATAGGTAGAGCAATTATATGTTATTACAAATATTAACTGCATGACATTACATAGCATCTTTGACAATAATGTACAAGTAATCCTATTTTGGCAACACCTTCAATATCATAATAATTGAAATAATTATCATTACCTTAACAATTATCATAAGTATTAGTTTTTATTGTCATTTTTATTATCATTATTTATATTCTTATACTCAAAAGTCTCTTAAAATTAAATCAAATTTTTATATTATGGTGTATCATGACCATATATGTTTTTTGTCAAAAAAATTAGATTTACCAACCTGCCTTAGTATAAATTGAACTGATAACGAGACACTCAGCTGAAACGATTCAAATTTATGATCCGCTTCTTGAACTGTTGCTATCACCTAGCCACATCACAATAATAAAACAAGAATAATAACTGTTATTTATTAGTAGTATCTACCATAATCCACTAGCGAAAATAATGAGAGAGATATTTTAATTTTAGTTTATATTTTTACCCAAACAATTAATGGTCAATAATGTTACCAACTGTTGTATTAAAAACAGCTTGGCAAGATAATAATTAATGACTTAATTTTGCTTGGGTTTCAAAATATCTGATCAGTAATAATATCCGACACATTCAAGTTGTCTAGGAACAATCTTTCCATTATGCTGCTTTGTCCTCATTATAGGCAACATTGTCCTGAACATGAAATCAAACAATAGAAATCACTCATGCCTGTCTGTGGTTTTATTAAGTATCTTACTATTAATAAATTACATTCTTGCTAGAAAGCTTCATAGATAAAAAACAATATTGGATCTTCAGCTAAACTTACCTTTGACACAAACAATGATGAATATTTATCTTGCAAGGTTCCTAAACATGATATGCATAATAGACCACCTTCCTCCCCTTCCGATCTACCAACATCCATCGCATTATCAATCTCTTCGCCATTCTCTTTCTTAGGTATTTCTATTCTGGACTTAGTGTCCCCATTGTTATCATTCTTAACCAATTCAACATCGTTGGCTGTATTTTCTTTTGTAGCATTTAATGAAGATGGGGTTGTAGCTTCATCTGATAATGTTGCATTATCTGTTTTCAAATCTGAGGATGCTGTCTTATGTAAAATCTTGTTGATAATCTAAACAAACAAAATAAAAGTGTTAAGTGAATTTTGTGTGGTACCATATTTAATGAAGATGATACATTCACTATCTATTGTCTGTTTTCAGATAAACACAATCAATATCTGAATTCTTCACATAATAGTCCCAGCAAAAAGCATGATATTTCCCTTGCAAATTTTTAACAGAAGCTGGTCATTGGAAGAATGCTATTGCACTGACCAGGTCACCCAGGGCAAGATAGAAATAACAAAAAAGTAATAATGTTTCTAATAATTCTTTATAAGAGCATTAAATTGCTGGTAATAAATTTGATGGTTTTTATAGCAAACAAAACATGCAAATCAATTTACACTTAATTATATTGATTGGTCATTTTGAAGATTGTAATTTAATTTATTGATTTAATGGACATTTTTCAGACTTTATTACAGAAAATATATCTTTAAATAAAACTATTAATATTATTAATTTTTTTTTGCCATACTGTAAATTATTTTAATTGCGTGGACAGCCAAAATCTAGCTTAAATTTGTGTAGAAAATTGCTAGGAAAATAGGTGTGCAGAATCGTAATTACTGCATAATACCTTTATTATTACTTTTCTGAAATGCTTGGATGGATTTCTATAGTTGCACGGAGGATATATTCCCCGCATAGGCCTTAATTTACAGTTTGGAATAACAGGAAATATTTACCTCTGAAGGACTGTTTCCTTTGAACTGGGAGGGTATTCTGAACCCTAAATAACGCAGTATACATCGCTGACAACATGGACACTCTTGTAGTTCATTTGCAATCACTTCCTGCTCTTCAACTGTCCCAAACATGTCTAATGTTCAGCTTAAAATAAAAACCAGTTCAATTAATTCTGTACCACTGCACTGTACACTTTGATGAAAATAATGCTACTTTGAATGAATGATTGAATGCTATGCTATATGCCTTAAAATGAGAAAATCAATCATATTCTGTTGATTTGAACTTGTTTGGTTGTCCCCTTCACATGCCAAATATGCCAGGATTTGTTTGAGTGGGTTGGGTGGGGGAAGTGGTCCGGCAAGTGGGGAGGGGGAATAGGCCTAGCCCTATAGTATACTATATTATTAATGCCTAGGGGCCTAGGCCTAACCTAATATTAATAATATAAATTAATATAAAAATAAACTCCGTCAAACCTCGATCCATCATTAATTAATATATAGGCCTAGCAGTTTTTGGTCAGTGAGTGGTCTAGTTACACAACGCTAGTCAGCCAGGCACAGACTGAATACGTACACCACCAGAACTGTAAGCATCAGATGCCGCAAAATCGATTTAGGCCTAGGCCTAGCCCCTTACTTATAAGAGCCCCACTCTACTGGTACAGACAGGCGGATACCGCATGCCATCATGGCCCATTCAATGAATCAGTGGGTGTGAAGTGAGGGCCGCTGCAATAAGCACATAAAAACTAAGAGATGCTAGCCTAGGCTTATATATTATTATCATTTATTAAGTGAAGGATTACAGAAATGTGTTTCACCTTCCCTGTTTAAATGTAAAACAATCTTGGCCGAAAACCCATGCACACTGAGTATTCTTTCAAATACAGAGGGGATGGTCGGTGGTCACACAGCCAGGTAAACAACAGCACACTGGCCTTTCCATCCCGAAACTTAAATTCTTTTTTCTGTTTCTAAATTCTGTCTTACAACGCGTCGTCTACACACACTGGCGCGTTTTAGGAGCTCATAACCTGTTTTATAGATACCATTTTGTCTTTTTAAGAATCAGAAGAATGCGGAAAAAAATCATAAAAATAATATTTTCTTTTCTTATTTAGAAAAATGATTATGTTAGAAGTAGCAAGATGGAGGAGAAAATTAAAATGAGATATTATTAATAACTGTGTAGGCCTAATGAGATTTATAAATACTTTAAATTTATAATTATATAGAAAGAAATGTATGTACATCTTATTTTTTCATCACCGGGAAAGCGGAGCTTCTATGTCTAAAGTATTGCCAACTCATAGCTGATGATGAAGAAGGGGTGGGGGTGGGGAGGCATACACAAACCAAGAAGGTATAAAAATAAAAATGTTATACCTTCTTGCATAAACACCATCCACCAGTGAGTCACTGGAGTGACTTAGCCGGCTGGGGATATATTTCTGTGCAGTTTACTTATCTTATATTATTTTATTTTTTGTCACATTTTTTACTAACCTTTGTATTAATTATTGTTTAGCATCAGGAAACGAATTTTACATGTAAGATTTTCTACAAAGTGGAAATAAAAGAATCTTGTATCATCTATCAGTTTGATTCCGTTCTTAACATGTACCTATACTGTAACAGCAAACTACTCAAACAGTCAATGTGAAAACGCGTTGAACAGGTGAGTGACCAAGTTTCTGACAGACGTTTTTTGAAACGCAGCAGCTGAGTTCTAGCAGAGTGTCGTGAGCGTGCGAGAAAGCAATTCAGCAAGATGGATATCGGCAATGAAATCAGTCATAAAATAAGGGTAATTCAAACTTATTCTCAATGGAAAAGATATCCTGTTTAAACAAAAATGTTCAGTCTTCATTTTGACATAACTTCATTAATTGCAAAATGCATATTGGTGATTGCATTTTGAAAGTATTATACTAGCTTAGCTAGGCTGGGTAGGCTCCTATTATTCTAGCGGGTAGCCTTAGGGGAGCCTGCCGCTACAGCAGGCTAGACCTCGCTAGGGCAGGCATGTGGACTTACTTGGGTTTGGCCTAGGTAGAGTTTTGAAGTAAATCATCTATTTCTTGAAACTAGTTAGTGGGCATAGCTTAATCAAGTTTATACCTGGTTTAAACAACTAGCCATATGATATGACAGGCTATTTACAAAACTTTGCTTGTTTGCCATTTCTGTGAAATTTCTCTCCAAACCTTAACAAAATAAAAATACAATGATTTTATTTTAAGTTTAAACATGCAGTTTAAAAATCCGATCTTCAGAAAGATCATCACTTTGGCAGACATCATTTAATAAACCTAATTTGATGATATGACTAACCTACATTTTATCATTTACTGTAGTTTATTGTACAAGTTGCAATATTTTTAGTTGTAACTTATATATAACAAAAAAGAACTTTCTTTTTCCAGGATGCCATCAAAGCAAAGCTGGTTGACCTGGGGGCGTATGTAGGTCAGTAGACCGGTTGGCATATTTAATTACGTAACATTTTAATCTCTCCATCTCAACTGCACCATCATCTTCATTATCATCATATCCCTATTCATCTTCTCCACCATCATCATCACCACCATCATCATCATTCATCATTATTATCATCAGCTAAACGGAACATCAGTATCTCCAAATTCGTCAGATATACTGTCATAATCATCATTATCATCATCATTAATTATTTTTAATCACAGTCTCATTATAAATTATCACAACAACCATCATTATCATGTCATCTTCGTTGTCATCATAAATATCATCCTCATCATCATCCCCACTATCACCATTTTGACTTTAATCATCATTATCAATCATTGTTACCATTATTATCCTTACTATTATAATATTTTTCACCTTTGAAAGTGAGAGTCATGTGGTTTAATAATAGAACTATGAATTTCTATGGTTTATTGCAAACACATCTCAGTTCAAAATGCTCTACTGTACATCAAATTGATGACAATAGATGATCAGCTGGCTGTACATCAAATTGTAGAGGGCGCCTGCTATCCTTTATTTTTATTGATTGTAGATGAGGAGCTGCCAGACTACATCATGGTGATGATTGCCAATAAGAAAACAACAGCTCAGATGAAAGATGATCTGCAATTATTTCTTGGTAACAATACAGAGAAATTTGCATTGTGGTAAGTGAACTATTTAGAACATCTTATGACGGCTTGTCCCGCCTACTATTGTTGACAGACAGGAGTAGCTGTTACCTGTTTATCGGTTAGCTCAGACACGAAAAAGGGAGAATCGAGTTACTGCACAAGCAAGTCCATACCTCAAGGGCTTGAGACTATACAGCACCATATAAATCCAACTACATTACAATATATTACACATAACACCGTAGCACCGAATATATATTTTTATATTGTTTACTTGATTTGAATAAATGTTAAATTTGAATAAAGTATGCAGTAGGTCACAGGACTCAAATCGCTGATTGTGACTTGACAAGTGTACTTACTGTTGAATATGAATGTAGCTGTAACTTATTGGCCGATAAGTTGGCTTTCCAATGCCATGGTCCTTATTCATAAAGCATTACATTATTAAGTTTTTTAACAAAGCCCTGAATAGCAGCTATCTTTTAGCATAGAAGCCTAATTTAAATGGACACACTACTTCGTACCACTGTCGGCTGATGAATTTGTCTCTGCTGTCTGTGATCACTTCATGGTGGCGCGCATTGCTGTGCTTTCCAAACATTGTGGCGGCTGATGAAAGTCTTAGGAATGCATGTGCCCTGCTTTAGAGATACATGTTGGAAGTAGTCACTATCACTCACATGATAAGCACATACCGTTACAGTATGTCTAAACTTGTTTAAACATCTAGCAAATGAGTTCCATTAACCAGATGTCGTCATGGATTGTATTTCATTGTACTATGTTAAGGGCATTATTATTCTGGTAGTTTCAAATGTTTGTTTTGTTGATGATGATTCCTTTGCCTTCTGCTTGTAGGTTGGATGCTGTTCTTCATAAGTTGCAGTCTGCTACAGTAGAAGCTTCGTTGGTAACTCCTACATTGGACAAAGAGACCATACCTGCTGCTCAGCAGGCGAAAAAAATCCGCAAAGGCAAAGATTCCAAGACGGGGAAATCATCAAAACACAGCAAGGCCAGAGAATCTGAGGTTGAGAAATTCACGGAAGAAGTCTCTTCAGCAGCATTGCATGAACCAGAACCGTTGTCAATTGAGGAAAAACCAGAAACACCAGATGATCCCTCACAGGCAGTCATCACCTTAACACCAGAGACTGGTGACATCTTTGATGAAGAACTTAATCCAGAAACCACTGAGGTGAAAAGTGCACCAGAGAAGCAGGTCACATTTTCTCCAGTTGCTCCACCACCAGAGACACAAGTCTCAGAAGTTGCTCCAATGCAAAGGAGTCATAACGTTCGTCCAGTTTTCTCGGAAAAACCGCATCCATATATTTCGGAAAAAGTTCACCCAAAGGTTTTGGAAAAACCTAGCACAGATATGTCTGAAAAACCTCACCCAGATGTGTCAGAACAACGTCTCCCAGATGTGACTGAAGAAAGTCAAGTGTTAAATAATACAGGGAAGAGTACTGTGACACACATTTCAACATCTCCGATGTCTATGATAGGGGAATGTGAAGTGATTACAAGGACAGTTCAAACCGTACCTATAACATATACAGCAACCAAGAAAATTCAGGTATTTTTCGAATTAGTTTATTTTCCCTTAATTGTATGATACCGTAATTATAAAAATGTAGATTTAAATATAATAATAAATAATTCTATTTTGCACTGTCTTATATTTTTTTTAGCCATTCCTGTAATGATATTCCTTTGACTGATTAGTATTGTGTCATTAACATAAGCAGTATTATTGTTTACAATTACTTATTGTACATTTACATACATAGCACATACAGTAGTGTAAGAAAAGGAGACACTCTTGTGAGCTTGACATGCAGTGTTGAAATTGACAAATACAATTTAATAGCCTGGACTAGGCTTTATAATCAGTATACAAATATGTTTAATTTGTACTATTATTTAAAGACTCAGTGCTCCTTCAAAAAGTTAAACCAATTTACAAGTGCTACATTTTTATTTTCAGTCACGGCTTGGGGTCAGAGGCCACAGATCAGGAATGCATCAAGGTAGTAGTGAATCTAGGAAGTACATGTTAGGGTCTGTAGTGGGCCAGGTGATTGATGATGAAGAAGAAAACGATTCTTTACCTGTTACCAAGCAAGGCTTGACAAGTGTTGTCAAACCTAAAAGAAGGTATGTTTTAATGATGCTTGTACTGTTCTACAATGCCTTTTGTAGTGTACTTCTATGACTCATTTCCCATCACTGTTCTCTTCATGCGGAGAGCCGAAATGCAAGTTTCAATTTCACCATGTCTTATTATAGATAAGACATTAAGCCATTTGTCTTCAAACTTTTGTAGGTTATCCTGGTGTTTACACCAAATGAATTCAGTCTACTCAAGACTAGCCTTAGTTGTGGTTATACTGTTACTTATCCATTGAGTAATTAAATTCAATCTTTATTGATCCAGTATATAAAAAAATACATCAGAAAATCTTTGTTTATACTGTGATGACTGTGAGTACAATGGATTAACCTCTTTACTAAGAGAATGTGAACTTAAACACTGGTGAACCTCATGTGTGCCAGTGCTAATTAGTGATTGACGCTAATGATTGTTATGATATTGGTAATGGTTTCGGGAATAGTGGTAGCTTGGTGGTACTGTATATGAGAATGAGTTGCGGAAATTGTAGAAACATGTTGGTGATTTGTGGCAGTGATGATGATAGTGGTAGTATTGAAGAGGATGATAGTGGTGTTGAAAATGATGGTGGAGGTTAGGATGATGAAGATTCATGGTGAATGTAATGTTCCATGACAGTAATGATGTTGGCTGGAACAAGGGCAGATCCAGAATTTTTCAAATGGGGGAGGGGGACATTTGTATTCTGTTTTTTTTTTTTTTTCTTATTTCATTACATAGTGTAGCATTGATATGCACTGAAATTTAAAAATTTAGTTTCAAAACTGGTGGGTAGTTTTCGATCTGCATTTGTGGAATGGTTGTCATGGTGCTAGTGATGTTTATGATGTGATTATTATAAGATTCTAAGTGATAGTGTCATAGTTTAATGATTATTATATAAAAAGGAAATTATTAGTACTGTACAAACAATATTAGCATTTGCAAACATTTATGTTGTAGGCCAACCCTTCCACCTTCAAAGCAAGCTAACAAGTCTCTTTTAGTAAGGGCAATGAGTGATGCACAGAGGTCTACTATCACAGAGCTTGAGAAACAACGATCAAATGCTGTGAAAATTGTGAGGTAGGTCAGAGGGTAATATGGGTCTTGCCAGTGCCAGAACCAGCATTAGTGACCAAAACAAGAAAATTGATTTCTTAAAATATTCATATATTCATATATTCTCCACATTATAAGCTTCAATATAATTGGTCATTTACTGGATTCAACGTATTACTGCCAAGTAAAATTGTTACAGCTTCTTTGTACTAATGTATACAATACTGCCACACTCAAATTATTCTGTTGAACAATTAACGACTGTACGCTCGTTTTGAATGGCAAGCCTCATATAATTATGCTACTGATGGAGGGGACAACTTTATGTAATTAATTTAATATCGACATGCAATTGGTAATGATGATGAGGATTATATATTCATTATCAAGTTAGAGAATATTGGGCTTGCACCTGAATCAAGCTAATGATGATGTGGATTTTGAAGTTAAATATAAATAATCTCTAGATTCTTACTTGAAAACTTTAAATTTTAACAGGCCAAGTGTCAAAGGCAAGACTGTATCAAGAAACCTAATTTCACGCGCTATTTCTGACGCCACAGTGTCCCAGATACAAACCCGAATTCAGCAAAATCCACACAAAAGGCCAGACCGTGATGAACTGCTTTCAAGAGGGCTAATTTCAAGGTCAAAATCAAGTGAAAAAATTCAAAGAAACCTTGATAACAACCAGTACCTGTGTGTATTACCAACTTCACACCAAGATGAAGAGGAAGTGATCACTGATGACCAAGGTAAGATGATGATAATGATACAGAGAGCTTGCATCATATTAAGAATGCTCAACCTTCAATTCTAGAGTTATGTGCTTGTACAGTTTTTTGTTTTTAAGTCATTCATTTCATTAATTTGTGGATTTTGTAGCCAAAATCATTGTCTTCAAAATGACAAAATCAGTCCTGAAAATTTTTGTTGGAACTGCAGTCATTTATGTTTAAATTTAATAGGAACAGTTGCGGTTCTGCTACTCAATCTTGAGGTCAGAGTTTGAATCCTTCGCTGAGCATTTCGTTAAGTGTCCTTAGGCAAGGCACTTTACGTATGGTTGCCTCTCTCGACCCAGGAGTACAAGTGGGTACCTGTAGGTTCAAGTTCAAAATGCACTGATTATACATATGCAACATTATGGTATTTCCCTAGTGAGATGAGTATGTGTTAAATATGTACTTGATCCAATGACCAGGGGCAATAATGTGAAGTGCTTAGAGGCCTTGTTGGCATTAAGTTTAACATATTGTTGTTATTGTGTCAGTAAATTATAGCTGAATTGAAAATATGGACAAAAGCGACAACTATAATGTTTTTGTTTATTCGCAGATGACACTGTACTTACTGTCAGGCATGTAGATGTTGAAAGCGATTTGGAACATGTTGAAGCTCAAGAAGACAAGAGGATAATGAAGATAGTGTATGCAGACGAACGCGTTGTCAAGACAACTGCAAAAGTGTCTCCTGTGCACAAGATAAAGGAGCCAGATGTGTATGTTTTCAGTTTAATGTTTAAGGTTACACTTGCATGATGATTATTTAATAAGGGCCCCATTATAATGCAGGCAAACATTCTGAGGTTTATATGCCACTGACTGGCTCAGATGCAGGGCATATCCTCAAAAATTAAGACTTTTGATTTGTGTGATGACATAATGCTGGAATGGATTCACATATGAGTGACCATCCCATGTTATCTGCACAACATAGATTCGGGCCAAACTGTGTCCTAGAATGCAGGTGACACATGCACGTCCTACCATAGTCGTGCAATCAAAATCTCTCATATCTATGACAAATCCAAGGTCATGCCCACTGACACAGCAAATGACGGACCCACTGTAACAACTACTGACACATACATTCCCATTCCCTTTGATACATCCCCACCACAGCTGCCACTACCACATCCAAATATCTTGTCTTATTTTTCTGATCTAAAACATAATTCATAATAATTAACTATAAACAGAAATAAAAGATTTAAATGTCTGTACTTTTTCAGAGTACCTCCGAAACCTGTCAACAACCCCAAGTTTATTGTCACCTTGTCTGGAGCAGAAGCATTGCGTTCACCCCAAAAGAGGGCGCCAAAGAGAGCAAGAGTTATTGCACAGAGACCTTTAACTAGGACAATACATAAACAAGAGGTGACAACATCACTACCACTTTACAAAGCAACCAATAAAGAAGCTCTGCTAATGAGATGTGAGTACTTATGATTGTTGTTGCTGTTGTTGCTGTTATTGTTTTCTATTTAACACTAGCTACGTTTACACAGCAGAAGTTATGTTCATGTTTATCTGATGATATAGGTGTAAATGGCTGTTAAGTTGCCTCCACATTGCCACGGTTGTTTGACCCTTTGTGAGTCATCACAGAAGTCGCTGTTGATGAACAGTACGAAATACAATTATTTGCAAAAATTTGCGAAATACAGAAGGAGTAAAACAACATTTTGTTTTTTATCAATTACATATGATTTTAAACATTTTTTACAAAGAGTTTCAAAACTAAACAATGCATAGAGTTTTTTTTTCAGGTCAGTTCTAATCATGTAACTTACATACAACGGATTAGTCAAGTTAATGTGTAGACGGTGTTACTCTGATAGCAAACGGCAAGCATAGCTACTGTTGACCCTCATTCCATGGTCATTCTGAGTTGTAGCATTAATTTTATATATGTTTTTAACAGTGAATGAAGTAGAAGAAACGTTTGAGTCACCAGAAGATGAGGAATTTGCACTGAAAACTCAAGTTTTGAAAAAAGTTGATGTAATGGGTATTTCCCCTCAGGTTGAGGCTGAGCTCTCCACTGCCACAATACCATCACAGCTTACACCAAAAGTAGATCAGGTATCCTTTAGCCTACATGACTCCGAAGGTAAGACAGAATTTTGTCTTGTGAGTTGTCTGATGAGTTTGGGCATTATCCATCTTCCAACAGACATTGACTCATTTTTTGATCGAATATGTCTATATTATATACTATCAGTGAAGTCTTATCAAACAAACTATATTATGTTAATATATGATGTATATTATCTTGTATATATATGTAAGGATTATATTTTTTAAAGATGAAGAAGATAATGTTTCACCATCCAAGAAGCAAAAGCTTTTGGAACGTTGTATGTTCTGGCCAGCCTGCAAGAATGGTGACACCTGCTCCTATATCCACCCTACCACTAAGTGTGTGTAAGTGATTTCCTTTTTGACTGGCCAACTCTCTCACACAAGTTATAAATCACCTCAAGAATAAATGGAACAATCCGCACCAGTTGCCATTTATTTACTTTCAAAAATGACCATACACACATCCTTATTCTCCTTCAAATTCCAGTATTAGTGAGGTTTAAATCTGAGACGACGAGTAATCTGGGAATCTAAATTCTAATTATGAATATATGATGCAAACTGCAACAGAGTATAAATTCTGTTTTGTTTAGATTTCCAACAACAAAATAGTGCATTAAGACTTAATTACATATTGCTGTATAGCTAGCAAATGAGTTTAAGCTTATGTATGTGTCTTTAACCACAGATTCAATGTTGGTTTAACATCCCAGACAAATTAACTCAGTAATATTCAAACACTATGAATATAATTTTGTGCGTGTTCATGTCTCACAATGATATCAACCATACCAGATTGCTCAGCATCTCAGATCTTAGCTGAATACTGGATTTATACAGGGAACCAGACTGTTCCATTTAATTTTTTTTGGGGGGGGGGCGGGGAAGGGAGGTGTTGGTGATTTTTATGTATTGAATAGTTGGTATTTCCCAGTAAGTTTCTCACTCTAACAAGTTTACTACTTTTTAAATCTAATCAAAGTTATGAAGATGGATAATATGATTGTTAAAACAAAAAGTGTTATTTTGCATTGACTATAATTTTTCTTATTTTGTCATTTTTAGGACATTTCCAAATTGTAAATTTGGCGATAAGTGTTTGTATATTCATCCAAATTGTAAGTTTGATGCGCAGTGCTCACGCTCAGACTGTCCTTACACACATGCTACTCGTAAACAAATTGGCACCCAGCCAAGTCAAAAAGGTAATCTTATAAAATCAGAAGCTGTTTGTGTGAGATTGTGTTAAATGTTGTATAAATGCATAGATGTTCTGCTAGGATTCTTTGCTATTACCCACTCCATGCATTCAGTGTGGTAAAATGAGGCTTGCGCCAGCCATGTTTAGTGAACCCTCCGACCGCTAAATGAAAATACAATTTTAGTTTTGGCTAGTTAGTGCGCCCTCTGCCACAAAAAATTGAAATTTCAGAAAACAACAAACATTTTTTGTTTAATTTATTGAGCCCTCTGCTGCTATGAAATCTCCAAAAATAATATATATATATTTCTTAATTATATAAATTTGCCAATCTCATTACTACACTGTTTACATTTATTAATATAATTTCATTTTTATTTTCATCTCCACCTAGATCATTTTGCCAAAGAAGAAAACACATTTTATTTATTTTTTTCCGCCCTCCTTTGATGATCTCTAAAAAAGTTTGCTAAGCAGGGTATTTAAAAAAAAACCTCGCAATAATCTGTTTGAGGTACCAAATTTATTCCTTAAATCTTGGTCTGTTTAGTTATTTTTTTGTCTAAGAAAAGCCGACCCAATTTTTTACATGATTTTCAGCATTTCAGGCCTATGTATGTAAAAACTTCTTATTCTATAAAGGTTGATGTGGTGTTTGTGTGGGTGGTTACTTTGTTACAACTAGATGGTGTGGGCATTTTTTGTAAACAGGTTGCGATCAAGTGAATAAATAAATCAGTTGAAATAATCGTTCTTTTCTTCATTTTTCCCTTTTAGTTGAAACTCCATCAAAACTTGCAGGTCATGGACAAACTGTATGCAAATTCCATCCTCTTTGTAAAAATCCATCTTGTCCTTTCCACCATCCAAAGGTAAGTATGCCACCATAGATGATCAGCTAATACAAAATTCTAGACTGAAAAATTAACTTTATTACTATGCAAACAGCAGTCAAGTAACAATCTTCTTGTTATTATCCATCTTCTCTGTTCAGCCATGTCGATTTGGAGCTGCCTGCACTAGGCCAGATTGTATC